AAAATATTTTTATATTTGATCATAGACTTGATAATTTGTATGGTTTCCGAATTCCGTACTGTACGAAAAAACAAATCAGACCAATTAGAGGTGACCAGGTCGGGATCACGCTCAACCACCAGGTTTGTCTCCTTAATTAATTATTTAATTAAGAGAAGCCACTTTATAGTGGCTGGGTGTGCCCTAGGAGAGTCTCCTCGTCCCAAGGTCGATCTACGACTGATGAAAACCTATAAGTTATCAGCTGGATTAGTATCCGGAACCTTGAGCTTTGGAAGTCAGTGCTTCCCCACTGAGTTACTCCACTCCAATTTTTAAGTTAATATTTATATTTTTGGAAGAAGCCATAGTAATTCAACAATCAAAAGAAAGTTGACTCCTCCCTTTTATAATACATTGCTTTTACTTATTTGATTATTATAATGCAATGTATTAATTTATATATTAAGCGAGTTATCAGCACTGGCCAACTAGTCTTTATAAATTCTTATTACCCAACTAGGATCTTCCTAATTTCACTCTAATCTTTAATATATTATAAAACTCTGTATTTTCCTGTTGAAAACGTTAATTGTTCATGTTGAAAATGTTTATTTTAATCTATAGTTTGTACTAAATATATGGGCCAGATATGGGAAAGGTGTCTCTTCCTCGAGCATAAATTAATATTTAATTACAATTCAATCTCAATAGGTTAAACACTACGCTAATCGAAATTGCTATATTAATATATACATAAAAAATCAATTAATTGTAAGATAAGTATGTAAATATTTTATTAAAGGTTGAAGAAGAGGTAAAATGTATTTGAAAACATTTTCATTACCTTTCCTAGTAGCGAAGATTTTCTCGTTTAAAAAATAACTTTTGTGTCTCAGTTATGTATGACTAACTTTATAATATATAATAATGTATAAAATAATATCCCAGAAAACGGAGCCGCTTTGGAATTCCAAGAAAAAGAATGGCATGCCAAAAATTATTTTAGGCCATTATTAATATTCTTGACATTCTGTAAATATGCGAGATTCTGCTAAATCTATCTCAATTTCTGATTCATCTTATTAGGCCTTAGGATTCTTTTCTGCTTCTATTATTTATGCTTAGAGCCACTATTTTAAAGTGATTTTTGGCCAAAGGTCACTAATAAATATTCTTTTCCATCAACATCATTTTATCATTGCCGACGCTTTTTTGGCTTCAAGAACCATTTTCAAGTATAAAATATATAATTAATTTAGTTATATCACATCGGTGTAAATATAATATAACTTAAAGTTTTATAATTCTAATTATATAATTCAAGAATAATATTTTATTGATATAATTTTAATTAAAATAATTTATCATGTAATTTCACTATTTTTGTCTAATTTTTAACAAAATTAAGGTCTTATAAAGCATTGCCGGTATTCTTTTAGAAACAAAATTCATTCACAAAATGGTACTAGTAAAACATGATTTATCATAAGGCTAAAATATTTTAAAAAATCTGATTGTTGGAACCTTTTCGACAAATATTTCTCTTTCCGACAGGGCTTAAAAAATACGACCTGTATTGTCCGAAACCGCAAGGATCAATACTGAGACCATTATTGTACATTATATATACCTATGACATACCTAGCAACTCCGAAACATTGATTGATACTACGGTGACGATACATAAACTAGGCAATTAAAAAAAAGTAAATAAAAATAGTTTTACTACGATCAGTACATCCTCCTTCACATTTATGTAATATGATCTATGTGATTCTTCACGTAATAATTTCAGCCTAACACGGAGTATAGGTACCGAGTAATAAGATTAAGTGTTCGATTCCTAAGAGGCGAGGAAGAGCAGAAAATTTTTTTTTTCAATTGTATTTCGGAATCTACGCATCGTGAAATGAAAAAGAAATCAAGTCTGAGGAAGTTGACTTTTTTTGTTTTTCTTGGCTGATTAAAATGGTTTATTATTGAAAATAGTAAACCAATATAATCTGTACCTATTTTGTTTATAATTAAATCAATTTAGTCTTCATTTTCCCCCATAAAATGAATAAATAATTGTGTTGTTTCAATTCTCTTAAGAGGGAATTAATTTAATGTTATTCTAGAGGGCATTGTCCTGTAATACCAACTGCCCTCTCCCCCCTCCTCCTCCCCTCCCAGAGCTGGTTCTCTTCAGATCAAAAGCTACTCCCTCTCCCCCCTTCCCAACCCTTCCTTACTCCCCCTTCTGAAGTCTTGAGGCCCTACTGTCTGCGAGAAGTGGTTGGAATTCATTAAAGGAGTTTATTGAGTCCTAGTCGATGGATTAAAAGGTCCTTGAAGGATTACGTCCTTGAAAGATTGAAGTGGACCTTTTGATGTTTCTTAATACCAAGTAAAGGTGTTTCAAATGCGGTTGAAAAATTAATCAAATTTTTTGAAAATGATTATATTCCTCCTCCATTACGTATTGAACCATCAAGAAGTGATATACTACATACCTCTATCTATATGAAGTGGGTAATAATAATAATAATAATGGATATATTGAGAAAGATATTATTATTTAAATAAACAGTAACTTCAAGTACTTATTCTTCTCATAATAATTATAAATATATAGCAACAAAAGCAATTACCCAACATAGAAATATTAACTAATATTTTACTTTTTGATAAAATATGTGTACATACATTATATATAATATTACCATGAACATATATGTCAAAAAGAAACATAATGTAATTAATAGAAGGTATAAATGGAGAAATCCAAACTATAGAATCTTCAGTCTCTGAATCCTGCATTCAAGATGGTATACATTCATATTTACAGAACCACCGATCCTGTTCCGTTTTTGAGATAAACCATAATTGCTACCGAGAATCTCTTAGCTGATGTAGTCTTCTAGAAATATTTACCACAAGTTTACGCTTTAAAAATTAAAATATTGCTATTTGTTCTTTGACCGAATAAAAATTTTTCTTCTCAAATTTTCATCAGAACGTAATCCATCATCGTAATCCCTAAACAGAATCCTTATCCATTTCCAGTCATCCCTACAATCCTCCTAGAAGGTTGAAACGGCAGTGGCCTCGATATCTTTTGTAAATACGTCACTGGAGTGGCCAGCTTCTTTACTTGTCATGAGCCTATGTGGCTTTAGTGTTCTCTCTCAGTCTCCACTGGATTCCCATCCCAATGATGCGGCTGAGAGTGAAGTGTTGGGATCTCATTAAGTCTTGCCTTACCCTCCACACTTAGAACTCCCTCAGCTGAGGGAATGTAAATATTGTAAATATGTATGAATGTATTTTTATTTAATGTTGTCTCATGTTTCGCTTATTATATGCACAAAAGATTGAAAGCGATGGAGTGGGTTGCTGAAAGAAAGTGGCAGGATCCCAAGAGACATCTCTAGAGGGCAATCCGTGGTATGCTTTAGAATGCTTACATGGCACGATTTCCTTCAGAAGCACCTCCACCGCATCGGTATAAAAGATGCCCGACATGTCCTCTGTGCTCCTTGGATATGATGACAGGAGAACATCTTGATACACGTCCTGCGTTACAGGATATTAAGAGTGCTTTTAGTGAAACGGACAAATTCTTGTGCTAGGAGAGCGAAATTATATTGGACTGAAAGATTACGCATGACTGATAAAGCAGGCGTTAATTAGGAATTAGGAAAAAAATGTTTCAATTATTCTGTTTTACTAAATTTTCTTTTGTTATAATTTTTCTATTGTTTCTGTTTCATTTTATATATGATATGAATGAGTTTCACACATCCCAAATACTCAATGCCCTTAATTGAGGCATAATGTATTTGTCTCAATAAAAAAATAAATAAAAACCCATTGAAAAAGTAATTGGAATGTGAATTACTCTAAAATCTCTCGAGCTCTTCAGATAATATTGAAGAAAACCTTTTGGTATTTTTAATAAATAAAAGTAAATATCCAAGCAAGGCTTCTACACTCCCAGTAATATACTTCTATCTCTTAGTAAATGAAAGAAATAAAAACCCCTCTCTGTTTAAAACAAATAGATTTTGAGTGACTTCAGAGATAGTAGTGTATTATTGCTCAAGCTATTAAATTGGAGGGATATATTACAGTGTGAAAAGCTAATCACATATCAAACTTTAAAATAAAAAATATTAATTTAATTTTTTTCTCGATCATTTAACAATTATAATTTTTTTATTACATTTCTTTTTTACTGTTAATTGTTACTCAAAATCACTTTATAAATAAGTTATTTTCAGAAATGCAAAAGAACTGAAACTGTTGAATGAAATTTTGATTTATTAACTAGCTGAAACGTTTTGAAAATCTCTTAAATAATTTTAATGGAGTTAATGCTCCACGTTCAGTGTGTTATGCTAAAGTAATAAGCACGTTAGATGGTAGGAGTAACGCGAAAGTTTTTTTTCCTGTTTCTATATTAATCTAATCTAATTTTAAATCAACTAATCTTAAGAAATAATTTTATTAAATAAGGTTAAATTTTAAATAATATTTTTTTATCAAGGAATTTTCCATTACTGTGTTTCTCCTTGACCTAAATGTCATTTAGAATATTTTCACGTAGTTCTCTATCCAGGGCCCGCCAGGCTTTCTTTCATCTCGTCTTTCCATTTTATCTTGAGTCTTCCTATTTTCCTTCTTCGTTCTACTTCTAGTAGAATGAACGCTAAACGGCGTTTCTTTATAACTCGAATATACAGACTAGTACAAAAAGGCTAATATACAAATCTGTATTCGAGTCTATTACGACATATGGCTTGGAAGAATGAGTAATTAATGCCAAGTGCCGAAAACAATTGCTTGAGGTGGAAATATACTTTTGGAGAAGAGCAGCTGGAAAATCCAAAAGAAAAAGAATAATGGTACAGACGGAGGTGAAAAAGAACATTCTAGCAGATGTTGATATAATTATTAAAATGGTTATTATAAGGGCTGCAAAGCATTGATATATTATTATAGATATAATTTATAATAATAATGATAGTATATACCTGTCTATGGTGATTCCTGTGAGGGTGAGTACGCTAGCAGCCACTGTCACGTTGGCAATGTAGTTATTGATAGTGCAATAGAAGGAGCCGAAGCTCCAGTTTCTACAACAAAATAATATAATAAATACATTAAAAACATAATAATAATAAAGTTTAATAACAAAAAAGATTAATATACGACTGTGAATAGCAATGATATCATATATGTAAAGATCCCCACAGATTTATTTTATTTTTTATCACTCTTTCTATTTATTTTTGTCTTTAATCCTTGGATTGTCTTAATAATAGTTCTTTTACTGCTTAAAAGCATTGTAAGGTTTATTTTTTGATTTTTGTCGTTTCTAAATATTTTGTTCTTCATCTGTAATATAAAGGTGAAGGGGCTCACCTCAGGCTTGAGTTGACCTTATCCTCTAGAGCTTACAACTAAGTTAATAAAACATCTATCTCATGTGATTTGTTGCCAACGTTTTGGAATTTTGGCTGGTAATAAATTGTTAAAAAGAGGATTTGACAATTGTTGGGATTTTTCGAAAAATGTTTTTTTTTCGTTTTGCGAAAAATTCTTTTATTGTTGGTAAGTTTAGTGTTGCTTGTATATCCACTGCCTTCTTTCTCTGCAGCGTGGTTCCTCTTACAATTTTTCTAATTATTCCATTTTGGAAATATTGTAATGTTTTCCCAGTTGTTTTGCTGATATGTTCGAACAGAGATGCACCATACAACAGCGCTGGCTGTATTATACTTGTACAGACTAGAAGCTTTAGGCGTAAAGTTAGGTTTGTTGTCCGAATTAAATTTTGGAGTCTGTATGTCTTAGATCTTACTGGTTTATAAATTTCAAATGTCTGTCGAAGTGAATTCCGCACAGAAAATAAGCTCCTTAGTGTGGATAAAGTAAAGAAGGTTATACAGAATAATAGAGGAAAGAATATCGTTTCAAGTAAATGACATATGCGAATTGATTATAATTAGTATAAAAAAGGGCTGAATCAGCAGATTGTAAATATATATTATCTTTGTTATAAGTGTTTCAGGATTAAGTGGCCAAACTGAAAAATTTGGTGAAATTAGTTTTACATTGGGATTTTTATACTATTCTGACAATTCTTACTTCGGAGCGGTTTTCGAAATAAAGGAAAATTAAGAAAAATACGATCGTGTATCGATAAGAATCACTTTTTGATAGTAATAAATGGACTTTATTTATTTATGGATCAAACTTATTCATACTCGATTTATTTTGCCATACATTTCTAAATTCTCTCTAACATTGGGACTAATATATCGGAAAGCGGTTCTTGAGGTATAGGCGTATCAAGGACAATACGTTTGCGAATATGGAAAAGGAAATTCTGGATCGAATATGTTTTCTCTATTTTTCAAATTTTATATATTTTTTTATCAAAATACAATGACGTAACTATCCCTAAGAAAATACATTAGTTAACACATGTGTTCTTGAGAACTGTTAATGAAATTTTATAAAATTGATATTAGACCTCTAAGTACCAATATGTACAACCCCTGAAAATGTCATAAAACGTATGGTCGTAAAATACGTCGTAAAACGTATCAGTGGTAATTGATTTGAAATAATTTTACAGAAACAAGAATAACTTTGTTTCTTGATGTCGAAATTATTGATAAACATTTAAATAAAATGGGAAAAGAGTAGCGCAATGATCTCCTGAAGTTCTGCTTTTCTCTCCTCAGATGGAGGAACAAATTTGATTCGGAGTTCACTTGGTCCCAAGGTCTAATTTTAATTTTCTTATATTTTCTTATAGATAGATAGATAGATAGAATGTTCATTATTAATCAGAATAACATAAGAAAGATCTTACAACTATTTCAAAAATAAATACAAATATATTTTTGTTAATCTCTATACATATATTTTTTTAAACATATATGACGGACTATTGTCCGTCCATCGGGTCGTCGCCTTTCATCTTTAATTATATTATTATTATTATTATCATTATCTTTTTTTCAAGTTACAAATACATTAAAAATAATTATAATCATACAAACAAAATTTAGAAAACATATCACTCAACGACAATTTTTTTTATTATTAAAACACTTTATTCAGAAATATTACAATTTGTCACAGTTAAGGACACTTATAATAGAGTTCAGAGATTGCATTCATACCGTATATACAAAAATATAAATAAATAAAGTAATAACAAAAGAATAAGAAGAAAGAACAAAAGAGTAAAGAAAAAAAATAATATATATACACATAAGTAAATAAAAATAGAAATAAAAGTAAAACAAACACCTTATATAAAACATACATTATTTACAATTTGCCAGGTGATCTCCAAACCAATCCTGTCCCCTCCACATGTGGAGGGAAAAGGGAGGCCTAGGAGATCCCTACGCTTCTCCCTCAGCCACTTCACTGGTATTTTAAACCAGCGGAGGATGAGTAAGAGCGCTACAGCCACAGACACTCATGACTTGAGTGGAGAATCTGGCCATTGCTAGAACTCCAAAATATCCATATTTACAAAAGGTCTCGTGGCCACTGCCGCTTTAACCTACGAAGGGGATTGTAGGGATGGGTGGTGCTTGATAGGGATTGTACAACGGGATTTGGGTGATGAGAAAGGTTCTGGTGAAATTTGGAAAATTTGGCTGGGATAAGATCAAGAATAAATGGGATATTAAGGTCATGATGTAGGGTTTTATTGGTTACATAGAAGGGAGCATTGACTATTGTACGGAGGACTTTAGACTGAAAGGATTGAATGCGTTTGATGTTAGAAAATTTGGCTGTTCCCCATAGTTCTAGTCCGTAAGTCCAGATGGGTTTCAGTATTGTCTTGTAGATCAGTAATTTGTTTTCACCAGAAAGTTTAGATTTTCTATTCAGTAGTCTATATAGCTGGCCATATCGTCTGTTAAGTTCCTGTCTTTTAAGTCGAGTATGTGGATTCCATGTTAGTCGTCTGTCTAAGAGAAAGCCAAGATACCGGACTGTATCTGAGAAAGGAAGCTGGATGGAGTTAAAATAAACTGGTGGGCAGGTATTACGCCGAAGGGTGAAGGTAATGTGTTTACATTTAGATTCGTTTACCTTAATGCGCCATTTCTTACACCAGTGTTCAATCAGGAAGAGGTGCCTTTGTAAGTTTGCGGACGCTGTTTCAGGATCTGAGTTGGAAGAAAGGATAGCAGTGTCATCAGCGAAAGTTGCCAGGAGGGTATCGGGATGGACAGGAATATCAGCGGTAAAGAGAATGTAAAGGATGGGGCCCAAGACGCTGCCTTGAGGAACGCCAGCCTCAATTGAGTAACAGTCGGAGAATTCGGTGCCACAGCGAACTCGGAAGGAGCGGTCGGAAAGATAGGATCGGAGTACTAGGTATAAGGACTGTGGTAGATGGATTTTAAGCTTGAAGAGTAATCCGGCGTGCCATACCCGGTCAAAAGCTTGCGCTATGTCCAGAAATGCACCCGAGCAATACTGCTTGCTTTCTAGGGTTGAGGATATATGGTCAACAACTCGGAGTCCTTGCTGGACAGTGGAATGTTGGGAACGAAATCCGAATTGATGAGTAGGAAGGTTATAGGATTCAATTATAGGTAGGATTCGTTTCAGTAGGATCTTTTCAAAAATTTTTGAGAGGATTGGGAGTAGGCTAATTGGTCTATAGGATGCTGTATTGTTGGAAGGTTTGCCTGGTTTCAAGAAGAGGACGATGGTGGAATGTTTCCATAAAAGAGGGAAGTGGGTAGTTCGTAGGATGCAATTGTATATATATGTAAGAAATGTGATGGCTTTAGATGGAAGTTGTCGAAGGATCTGTGGGGTTAGAAGGTCATATCCAGGAGATTTGCGAGGTGTGATTTTCCGTAAAAGGTATTTGACCTCAGAGGGATTAACAGCTTTAGGTGGTAAGGAGAGTGGGATAGGTATTGAGAGGGATTCTTCTACTTTTACTGTGTGGCTGGGATGGGATTCTGGATGAGGAGCGAAAGTATAGGAAAGGTGTTTGGCAAATTCCTCGGCTTTATCTTCATCAGATGCTGCCCAGGATCCATCATCTCGTCGAAGAGGGTGGGAAATATGATGGGATTTGAGGATTTTTCTGGTGATATTCCAAAGGGAATTATCATGAGCAGAGAGTGTGGTGAGGTAGGAATTGAATGATTGGGATCTGAAGGTGGCTAATTCTTTTTTTAATTTTTTACAGTGATAATTGTAGGAGTGGCGGTCGGCTGGATGTCTGGTACGTTGCCATAATAATCTGGCACGGCGTTTTATGTGGATTAGGTCAAGGAGGTGTTGAGGTAAATTATGTTTCTTAAGGATTTTTGAGGAGTGATCAGGGGAGGAAGCAGTCCAGACTGCTTCTTGAATTTTGGTAGTGAAGGAATGTACTGCATTGTCCAGGTCTTCAGAGGTTTTCAGGGTTACTCTGAGGTCAATTTTATCGGAGAGGATTTGATGAAAGAGTTTCCAGTTAACTGGGCCTCTGATGAAGGACGGAGGAGAGGGTTTAGGAATAGGAGCTAGTGATACTTGGAGTATTAATGGGCTGTGGTCTGAGGAAAGCTCGTCAAGACGGGCAACGGAATGGTTGAGAGCACCTAAACCATTATGGATAAAGAAATCGAGGATATCGGGATTACGGTTAGGATCAGTGGGCCAGTAGGTAGGTGAGTTGGGTGGAAGAAGGGTAAAATTTTGGGAATTGAGTACAGACAGCAATGTTCGACCACGAGAATTCGTGGTTCTTGAACCCCATTGTTGATGTTTGGCGTTTAAGTCTGCACCCAAGATGAAATGATGTCCTAAGGAAATGAGGAAGGAACTAAATTGGATATTGGAGATGGATTGGTTTGGAGGGCAATACGCTGATGCAACGGTAATAGGAAAGGAGAAGGTTTTGATTACGACTGCGGTGGATTGTAGGAAATCTTGTGTAGGCAGTGGGAGTAGGTGATGGGAGAGGGATTGGTGCACAATGACTGCAGTACCGGCATGTGCTCTACCGTCAGGATGGTCGGTACGGTAAGTTATGTATTGTGGTATTTTTAGGAGCTGTTTTTTAGTCAGTCGAGTTTCCGTTATTAGGGCTACGTCTACGTTCTTGTCTTGTAGTAAGGCTGTTAGTTCGTGTATGTGATTTCTAACACCATTCGCATTCCAAAGGAGAATGGATATGGGTTTGATGGAAGTCATTTAAGGATTTTTTAAAGGAGGGATAAGGTGAGATACTAGGTTAGTGAGAAGTGATATCAGTGGGGTAACAAGGGATTTAAATTCTGAAAGAAAGGATGTCAATAAGCTGGTTAGATCTGTAGCATTAGGCGGTGGAGGAACATATTGGATTTGATGTTGGTGAGGTTGTTGTTGATTAGGTACATTAGGTGGGATAGGATATTGAGATTGGGGTTGAGTTTGTTCTTGCGGCAGGGCCTCACATACATTAGTCGGGTCTCTACCCCCAAGTAGCTTGGCAAAAGAAACCTTAGAGTTCACAATTTTAGCGGGTCCTCTTCTTGGTTTAGGTGTATCATCAGGGTCCCTGGGTTTCGTATATCTCGCTTTAAGATTTTTATAAATTTGGCAGCCTTTGTAGTTGGCTGGATGGCCTTCCAGGCATAGGGCACAGACTGCTGGTTCTGTAATTGGTTTATTACACTCGCCAGACTTGTGTGTTTTACCACATTTCACGCAGCGTGGTAAGTGGTGGCAATAAGACTTGGTGTGGCCATATGCTTGGCAATTATGGCACTGGATGAACTCTCTTTTTGGGTACGGTTTTTCGACCTTTACGCTGGTGTAGAAAATTCTATTCACATCGTATATTTTCTCGATCCCAGGCGATGGCTCTAGATCGACGAAAAATAAGGGCAATGAGATTTTATTCTTTACACCTGGTTGTTCTTTATTTTCTTTTAAAACATTGGTTATCTGACGTATTTTGAACCCTAACGCCGTTAACTCTTCTTTAATCACTTCTATTGGGGTTGAGGAGTGTAAATTTCTTATTACAACTCGTAGTGCTCTTTCCTGTTTCAACTGGTATGTGTGAAAGTCCGCATTTGTGTCTGTTAAATATTTTACGATTTTTCGGTACGCTTCAGGTGTGGCCGGTATTATTTTTGTATCGTTTATTCTGTTTAGGCATGTAACCTGGGCAGATTTTATTAAGTTGAGTACACAACAACTGGAAATTTCTCAAATTTTTGACAAAGATAGGAGGTGGGCGTGGTTCTCGAGGTATAGGTGCATCTTCCATTTCTTCCCTGTCATTTTCAAGCACCTGGTATGGATTAGGTGTAAAAAATGGAGATTCCATTTCTTGTGAAGACGTACTTGGCAGTGGTTGAGACACAGATTCTTGAGTGTTCGCTGGAGGAGTTCCGGGGGGTGTTAATCGCTTACTACGACGTGTTTTCTGTTTAGGCGGTGAATTACGTGGGGTAGAGCCAACTGAATGGGACCTCTTAGTTGACATTACTTGGTGATAATATCGCATATAAAAAAAAAAAAGAAAGGGAAAAAAAAATAAATAAATAAAACTACGTCTGCGTGTTATTACAATGGATGAACCACCGGCTGAGAAACAGCCAGTTACGTGGCAGAGCCACAACTGGAGAGGGGAGCCGTCAGCTGTTATGGCTATAGAGATTAAGCCTATAGACGCTAAATCACTAAATTCACTGTCTGTAATAGTACACAGTAAATAACAACACTACTCACTGTGGTGTTAGTCCATTGTTGTTGTTTTGATGTCTGCTTAACTAGTTTTTTTTAAAAAAAGTAAAACTGAGCACTTATTCTACTAAAAAATAGTAAAACTGTGGGAAACGACGTGAAATGTGGGTATTCAAATCAAGCGCATGCGCAGAACTGCAACGACAATAAGAACTACTACCTAATGACAATAACAAAGAAGAAGAAATCTATTACTAACTGTTTGTATTAATACTATTCATACTTGATACTTTGTTTAAAATTACGGCCAAGAAATAAATAAAAATAAGTAACATATAAATTATCAATTCAATTGTAAGCTATGCGGCTCAAGTTTTGAGCTTTGCTTATGTGGAGGAGGTAGAGAAATTCAATAGGTACTTCATTCGAAAATTATTTAATTTACCGGTTGGTACACCTAATTATATGCTCCATAATGAGACACATTTTAAACGGTTTCAGGAGATAGGTTTCATTACATCTCAGGTATATAAAACTTCACAGCAAAAATAATAATAGAAAACATATATAATGGTACAAAGAGCTAATAAACTTAGAACGACTTTTGGAGATACATTTGACTACAGATATTCTTATACTAGATAGGCTGATTATTCAAGAGCTGTGTAATAAAATAAATGAAAAATATAATAAGAATGATTCGCAAAGAGCAAGATAAACAGAATTTCATCCTGGTTATGCCCAGCTTGACCATATTCTATCTAATCATTATATAACAAATGATGCAAGCCCAGATTTTGCTAGAATAATTTTCTAAGCAAGAGGGGGACTTTTTGATTTGAACTGTCAACGCTAGAAACGCGATAGAATTTACGCGTGCTATCTATATAATATGAAGACACCTACCATTTTTTTGCCGGTTGTCTGATCCTAACAGATATATATATATATACAGTACAAGCCTTTAAGTATAGGAAATACTTATTCGAACACTTCACTTTTAATTGAACCCTGGATCTCGGTATATAAGTATACAATTTATCACTTTATATTTGAGTTATTTTTATTTTTTGCATATGTATCATCTGTCTTCAATATTAGTGAATATTATTAAATATTGTTCCCGACAGCAGACTCCCTCATTGTCTGTACTTCTGACAAGTGAAGGTGAAGATATTAAGTTTAAAAAAAAATATTGTTTAGTTATTATTTTGCTTTTCTTTTATAGCCGAGAAAAATAGCCGAATTCTTCGAAATGAAGAAATACCTGTTTCCTCGATGTGTATTGTCTGGGACAGAAGGCTCAACAAGGTTGTTGGCCTTTTAGCGTTCAATGCTAAGGAAAAGGAGGCAGTAAAAGTAGACCCCTCGGCCAGGTTTGAAACGAACGATGAGGATCAGGACTTCCAGGAACAGCCAGAGAAAGAGCAAATTTAAACAAAATTTATACCTTATTTGAAGGAAAAGTATAGAAACGAATTCGAAGAGAGAAAATTCTCAGTTGAAGGGCACTGGTCCGGAAGTAGAGGAACCATCCTTGATTTCTTGCAGAAGTTCTGGATTGGAAGGAGCAGGTGCTGACAATCGCAGGAACTATTGTTTTAGACTCGTTAAGGATCCTCCTTCACCACATATATTGATCTTCGCCTTCGGAGTTTTGCTTCTGTTCACTGTTTATAGCATGTTAGCTATGTATTCCAATGGTACGACCTAACTCTCTCTTATTTAAAAAAAAAATATTATTACTTGATTGACTGTAGTTTTCTACTCAATGAAATAGTAAACTGTAAAAACAAATATTAAACATTCATTTAAATTTATTGTTGACAGGCGCAAATACATATTTTGTAGACAAAAAAAAAATTATTTATTTGGTTCACTTTTTGAAGTGAAAACTTCTTTAGGTTCGTTTTGTACTTTTTTTTCTGTGAGTGAATTAGATTGAGCGATCAGATCTCCGATTTGTAAAGCTCGGGTAAAGTCGTCTAATTGTTTTATTTATTTATTTGGTAGTTCATACATGGTTAATACATTTTTCAAAATAACAAAACTTCAGGAACTTTCTCAATTTCCAATTCAATTTGGTGCTACCTTCACCATCGTAACGTTTTATCTTGGATATTGGAATCCAAGAATCATATAAAAACAAAAAAAAAACTTACTAACATTAAGTTATAATACACTGAGCATTGCATTTACATACAAACAGCAGCTGCGTCTATAAAAGTATAAAAGAAAAATATACATACATTTATATAAGTACATTAAATACACACTATATATAAAGTAATTTTAATAACTATGGAGATAGCAATCCCTCCTCAAAATAAGTCATAAGAAAGTAATACTATAATATATAAGTAAATAAAAAAACAATAAAAAAATAAATAAACATTAAATTAAAGAAATAAAAATGAAATAAATAAATAGATAAATAAAATAAAAAAATTAGAAAAAAACGTAAAAACGTAAATTATGGCATCGATATAATCATTGAGTATCACGTTATAAACGAGGAAGCAGCCTAAACCAATTACTGCAATTCATGTGGGAACCTTTAAGGACTCTTATTGTAATGGCGTTCATCGTTTTCTTGGGAATGCCCAACATATCCATGTATTGGAAAGATCGTCGGCACCATATTCCTCTCCAAGTTATTGTGAATGGGAGTACTTATATGTCCACGCCTGGCACTCCCAGTGTACGCCCGATCGCCATCCTACAATCTAGGTCCCTATATTTATTGGCTTTGACATCGTTCCAGTGAGTGGTGTCCGCTTGGTCCCGAGCACACCAGGTCTGGTTTCCACTTTCGTCTATTACTAATAAACATTTGCTCCTTTGTGACCCTGTATCCTTTCTTTTTGGAGTGAAATTTCCAACATGTTCACTATTGTATCATGCCGGCCCACTAGAGTTCAGTAGCAGACCACCGTGAGACAAAATGCAGTGTTGAATAATATGGCTGGCAGTTTCGCTTGCAGGACACCCAACTCTACATTTGGTCGGCATAAAGGCCCTACGTCCTCTGGATAATCTCACTCGGATTGCGAGGGCATTTATGTGGGTTCTTACCGTCTGTATGAAGGTTCGTCCGGTTACCGGAGCCGCGTAGTCTGTCAACCAATGAGTTGATGGGTCCCAGTTTTATGACTCCCTCAATGCCTTGCCATCAACACTACGATATAACTTCATGGACAGCGAAGAAAGCTCGGGTAAAGTCGTCTAATTGAATAGTTTTTCTATGTGGATTAAAATATCTCAAAAACTGAAAATCAGATCTTCATATTGTTAACAAGGGAAATGTCCATCACTTCATTTTAATAAGTTATTATTCAAAATTATATCTTAACTCTACGCCGTGTTAGAGAGGCGAAAAGGGAAAAAGCTCCCGCTCATTTAGCTTTTCATATGAAGTAACATTTGGATGAAAAGTTTCAAGATCGTTAGATTAGTCGCAGTGGTCCGATTAGTTCCAAGATATCCAGACCTCACAGTTTTGAATTATTGTTTATGAGGTTTGTGAAAGATGAAGCATACAATTAGTCTTGACGGTTGAGTATGCAAAAATCTGCACTGCGGGTTCTCTTCTAATTCTTGTCCGAGATGTCCTACTGACGAGAAAACTCCATGTTTCGGACTCAGAATGTGGTATGTTAGGTTGGAGGAGGAAGGATGCCTCCATAATTACTATCCCCTATAACTCGGTCATGGATCAATGAAGAGACTCGAATTGGGACTCATATAGTTTATATATTTATATTAATTAAGCGGAATGAGCAAATCGAGTGAACAGAGTTCCACAAGGTGTCCTTCAAAGTTGCTCCTCACTTATTTTCCTTACTTTGTGTGATCGAGGAAAATAGTTGAATAGAACGTTTCTTAATTTTCCTTGTAAATATTAAATTTAACAAGTTTGTACAAATATAAAGAGCGAAAATGTGCGCAAGTTATTTACTTATTTTTCCAAATTAGATTCTCTATTTTTTTTTCATGTTCAGAGCATGCATCAAATTTTCTGAAGAATTGATATTTTATTTGAGCTATACGGTTGCGTCTACTATGCGCTAAAAGTGCGGAAATCGCGTAAGAAAAAATATTTTTCGTTTTATCAAATACAGAATTGGCACATGATTGTTAGGTATTTTTCGGTGATGAACATTAGTTTTTAAGAAAACGTTCATATTCTGGATATTCAATGTTAAATAGCAAACAACGAGGTAAAATCGGTGGAAAAACCTCAATATGCTTTAACTTACATTTCATTTAGGCATGGATATCGACTCGAGTTGTGGTATTAAATTTACTGTTTAGCTTCCCTTTTTAGGGAACGCGACCCTCAACCTAAACTACGACATTTTGAGATGGCAGCACAGAGTTTTCTAGTCAGTAGGACAATCCCAGACAAGAATTTGAAGAGATCCCACGTTGTGGATTTTTCTTTCTAAAATAAATAAAGTCGATACAACCGTTTTGCTAGGTTTCAATACTGGAACGGTGGTAGGTCTGTAGATCGATACGGAGCAAATTGGGCTTTGAAGATTTTGATCCATCGTATCCTATCCGAACTATCGCGCCATGCGATTTTAATCCCAAAAAACGTACTGTTTTCGAGATAACGCACGGCGTAGGGTTCGCATCCACACAAACTTATGTTAATTGTGATACTGTCATTGAATACATGTCTCATTTCGTCGACTTGAGGTCTCCATGATCGAGAGAGGAGGAGTTTATATTATTTATCGATGGTGTTTTTGATCGGAAAGCCATATCATCTTTAATTTTTCACTAGATCCCAAGATTGAGCTACCAATTTTCAAGGCTTCTTTCTTCTCCAGGCTGGAAAAATGTTCCAATCACCCCGAAAATTCAGATAAGCAAGTTATGAAAGAAAAGAAACTTTATTTGCGAATAACTAAAAAATTACACTCTTTTTCCTGGATTATGTCCACGAACATATAAAAGATTATTAAATTCCCTACAAAGAGAGAAAAAATATCTAAATCGGACAATGCTTAGGAAAGATACAGCTTATTGAAATTTGCAAACATGTTGGCTCCAAACATTAATGGAGTTTCAAATTAATTTTTGTCGATTATATTTTTCGATAAAGTGACAATCGATTTTTTTATCTTATAATACGTTGTATTATTTAATTTTCTTATTTATGGACATTTCAGTTCAGGCTTATCAATACATATCAATAAGGACCACTTATCAATATGCTGTTCGAATTTTTCGAACGGGCCGACTAGTCTTATGATAATCAACATCATAAACAATAATGCAAAACTGTGAGTTCTTAAAAATATAAATAGGCACTATAGCTTAGAAATGTTACAGCCGTCATGAAGGATGATATAAAACGACCAGTAGAGCAACTGTCGCCATTCGAAGACGTAGCCGAAAATGTTTAGAACTCAATGGTGGTATTTTCGAACATTTATTAAAATAGGACATCGCTGACCCAAATCCTGTCAAATACATGAATGAAATATTATTTAAGTGTGAAATTTTGTTTATTTGTACTTCGCCAAAATGTAAAAAAAAAAAAAAAAAAAAAAAACGGATAAGAACATGTCAGTTTTTAAAAAATAATTATCCCTTATTCAACCCATTCCTGGTGGGTGGCTCGTTCTTCCCGAATTTGCACGTTTCTATGTTTGTGGGTGTGTTGCAAAAGATACAAATTTTATCTGAGCTACATTTCTTTGTAAAAGAAGTCCTTGAAGGTAGAGAAGGACAGTGTGGGGGACAGAAATCCAGCGCTGAGTCTTTGTCGGGGCTAAGGGACTTCCGAGAAGGTCGAACCGTTTTAGGGCTTATCTTTTGAGAATGATTCCTTCATGACGTCCTTGACTTAGGGGTTCGAAAATGAGGAATCGATTTATTCTTTGTAGTTTAAGATCGATCTCTCTAGGGGTCGGGGTGGATAAAAATATTCAAGGGAAAAATGTCCAGTTCGAAATGTGGAGGTAAAATCAAACTACCACCTCCAGATGAATACCTTTTCCGTTCAAATTTTTGGTCAAAATCTTTATTTTGAGTAAGAGGTTACAGGATCTCAACAAATATGTAATTAAATTAAAATCTGTTTAATTAGTGCCAATTATCGAATAAGTAGAAGAGCTACTGTAATCTCATTCTCTCCCGATACCAAAATAAAATAAAATATGAAATTAACTAAAATTCTTTTTATATGATAGAGACAAAATCAAAGGAAAACAAGACCTCATCGATGGAACTCTGCTTCTGGTGCTTTTTATATTTATGCTGTATAAGACAGAAAATGAAATAGCATACTTTAAGATAATAAGTTATTGTTCTAAACTAGTTTTTATCCAAATGTGATGCAAACTCTTGTACATTCTCTAGCCATTTAATTAAGAGTTCATTCATGCTCGCTGTTTTAAGGATTATTCTATTTCAAATCCTTTGAGGTTTGATGTTTTTCTTGATTAAGCTGCTTGATGTTGATGACGATGATGCTCGGGTTGTTTCTTTATGGCTCCGGTTCCAATACCATTATCCTCGAGTTCTTTCCCCGAAATGGAATGCAACCTAACATCCTTTGATGTCTTCGTACGCTGAAGTCCTCATTAATTCATGTTATTTGTACTGAGCCAGCTCTACATGGATAACTAGGCATTTTCGTGGAAAAAGAGCCACCGTCAATAATAATCTAAAAAAAATATATGAGCCTAATGAAGAATGTTCTTCTTTGATGTTTTCTTGCTAAAATATTAGAACAAACGAAAAGCCGACCGACATAGTCCGTGGTACTATGTCCCAGATCCCTTTTAATCAAAGTATTAACATCCGCCTGAATCTTCGTGAATAGCTTCATCTCATGGTAACCGACAACTATTTTATTTACGAAAATTCTCGGAATTACAGCGTTTTCAATCTGGAAGTCGGCAAACCTTGTTTATTTAATTTATTATTTCCTTGAAAAGTTGCAAGGTAAAAAGCTCTAGTTCCAAAACAACAGTAAAAAATTTGATGATAGTGAAACTTTTTAAAATAAAAGTTTTCATTTTTCGTTTCAATCCCTGATTTCAGGTATTCCTAAATAACTTGTTTTATTTCATTATAAATAAAATAAAGATGTTGTCTGTACATTGAATAGAATCCACCCGTTTTATGATATCTTTCCGTTTCATACATTGGAGACACCAAATCCACTTTTAAAAACATTTTTGTCTGTCTGTATGTTCGACTGCAATGAATTTTTTTTCAGGGGTAAGCTCAGCAATGACTTATTGTAGAATTTTGAAATATTAACATTATATTAAGGTTTGGTTGTCTTAAAACATAGGTTCTAAATGAAAACAAAATATTGAGCAGAACCAAAGTTATGAATTCTTGAGTAATTTGTCTAGAGATCTCGGTTAATGTTGATAATAAATGTTAATAATAAACATATGATTATAGGTTAAAGAACATATATATAAATAAAATAAAGGTTTTGTCTGTACATTGAATAGAATCAATCCGTTTCATACATTACATACACCAAATCCACTTTTAAAAACTTTTTTGTTTGTTTGGATGTCCGCATTGTCAAACGAAATTTTGTCACGGGTAAGCTCAGCAATGGCTAATAATAGACGTTAGAAATTTTGACATTACCTTTAGGTTTGCTTGATTTAATATAGGCTAAATATTAATCGTCCCGGACTATTGGCTCTCGCAATTTCTCACAGGCCATGGGGGCTTTCGAGCAAAGCTTCATTGCCATGGGATGGACATCGACCCCCTATGCCCTAGCTGCGGTGTTCCGGAGACTGCTGAGCACATCATAGTGGACTGCACCGCCTTTGAAGAACTAAGGGCTAAATTACTGAGGGAAACCGGTCTCTACATTCTCACAGAGAACGATTTCCCTCAGTTAGTCACTGCGGAAAACTACCCGTACTACAAAGATTTTGTGTACGGGTGGAAAGTCGCGGTGGGGCCAGCCCATTTTAATTTAAGAAGAGGAGGAAGAGGTACTATACCATTGGCGGGAAACGGATGAGAAAAGCAACCATGAAGAAAGGGAAAAAAATGAAGAAAG